TGGATCATACTGAAAGACACCATCTGAGATCTGTTCAATCTAGACTGCAGAATCTAGGGAGAGTAAATCTCAAGAAGGAGGCCAGTGTAGATTGCCCATTTCCTTTGTCATTCTGGGATAAGTTGGGACTGGTTAAAATTATAGAGACACTGGGTGCAGTGGTTCATGCCTGTAATCTCAGCACTTTGGGAGGCTGAGGTGGATGGATCATAGGGTCAGGAGTTTCAGGTCAGGAAATCTTGTCTCACTGCAACCTCCGCCTCCCAGGTTCAAGTGATTCTCCCATCTCAGCCTCCTGAGTAGCTGGGACTACAGGCACATGCCACCACTCCCAGCTAATTTTTTTTTTGAGACAAGAGTTTTGCTCTTGTTGCCCAGGCTGGAGTCATGATCTCAGCTAGCTGCAACTTCCGCCTCCTGGGTTCAAACGATTCTCCTGTCTCAGCCTCCTGCGTAGCTGGGATTACAGGTGCATGCCACCACTCCTAGCTAGTTTTTGTATTTTTAGTAGAGATGAGGTTTCATCATATTGGTCAGGCCGGTCTCAAACTCCTGACCTCAGGTGATCCACCCATCTCAACCTCCCAAAGTGTTGGGATTACAGGCGTGAGCCACTACGCCCAGCCAATTTTTTGTATTTTAGGTAGAGATGAGGTTTCACCATGTTGGTTAGGCTGGTCTCAAACTCCTGACCTCAAGTGATCCACCTGCCTCAGCCTCCCAAAATGATAGGATTACAGGTGTGAGCCCCCATGCCCAGCCAAAATTTATTTTTTAATAAGGGTAGTTATGGGGTCTTACCTGGTTGCCCAGGGTGGTCTTGAACTTCAGGGCTCCAGCAGTCCTCCTGCCTCAGCTTCCCAAAATGCTATGATTACAGGTATGAGTCACTGTGCCAGTCCGTTCTCCTCTTATCTGCATTTTAAAAGCAGGTGAAATTGACAAGTATATAGGGCAGTGGGTTTTTGTTAATTTTTTGAGAAGGATTCTTGCCTTTTTACCTAGGCTGGAGTACAGTGGCTTGATCTTGGCTCAATACAACCTCCACCTCTGTGTTCCAACAATTATCCTGCCTCAGCCTCCCGAGTAGTTGGGATTACAGGCGTGTACCACCACGCCAGGCTAATTTTTGTATTGGTATTTGTATTTTCATTTTTTTCTGTATAGTAGTGTGAAATGTATTTTTATTTTTATTTATTTATTTAAAAATTATTATTACTTTTTTTTTT